AAAAAGGCACATTACATACAGAAAGCTCTAGATAAGAATACCATATCTGGTTTCTTGTGACACCAGTAAAGTCAGAAAACAGTAGAATGATATTCTGAAAGGGAAAAAATGTTAACCTTGAATGTATACCCTTTGAAAACATCTTTCAAAAAGCAATGAAGTCACTTTTTCAGACAAACAAAAGCTGAGAGAATTCTTAAGCAGCCTAACTATAAGAAATGTAGCAGAGAGAAAAAAAATGATACTTTTTCCAGAAGGAAACTTTGATATATACAAAAGAAAGGAGAGTATCAGAAATGATAAAATATGTGGGTAAATACAAAAGACAAAAAAATTTTTTTAATTTGTTTAAAAGATAATGGACTGTCCAGGGCACCTGGGTAGTTTAGTAGGTTATACATCTTGCTCAGGTCTTGATCTCAGGGTGGTGAGTTCAAGCCCTGCACTGGGCTCTGTGCTGGTCATGGAGCCTACTTAGGAAAAAAAAAAAAAAAAAGATAATGGACTCTCTAAAGCAAATATAATATCAATGTATTGTGTTGTCTATAATATATGTACACATAAAACTAAAGACAACAATAGGATAACAGGAAGGGGGAAATAGAAGTACACGTCTGTAACAATTCTACCCTACTCAGGTGGCATAATACTGTTTGAAAGGAGACGGTCATAAATTAAAGAGGCATATTTTAAACAACCACTAAAATAATAAAACAAAGAAGCAGAGCTAGTAAGTCAATAGCGGAAAGGAACAAATACTTAAAAACATGTTCAATTATTTCCTAAAAAGGCAGAAGGACAAGAAAGAGCTGGACAAATAAAAAACAAAAAGGTAGGGGGTGCCTGGATGTGTCAGTCAGTTAAGCATCAGGCTCTTGGCTTCAGCTCAGGTCATAATCTCACCATTCGTGGGATTGAGCCCCATAGACAATCTGTGCTAAAGGCTCCATGTGTGCGAAGCCTGCTTGAGATTCCCTCTCTCTCTCTCTCTCTCTCTCTCTCTCTCTCCCCCCCCCTCNCCCCCCCCCTCACTCCCTCTCTCTCTCCCCCCCCCCGCCCCTTCCCCACTCAGAGTGCATGCTATCTTTCTCAAAATAAATAAACATTAAAAAAAGAAAGAAAATGCACATAAAATGCAAAGATCCTAAAAGGTCCAAATAAAACCAAAATGAGAGGACTTAAAATGTCTGACATCAAGACTTACTACAAAGGTACAGTAATTAAGACAGTGTGGTATTAGCACAAGGATCAAAACAGAGAACAGTGGAACAGAAGAGAGTCCGGAAAAACACACACACATTATTACCTAAAGCCATGTAGACTAAGATGGGGAAGATACAAATGTACAGTATCTTAACTATACTGGTTACATGGTAAATACCTTTGTCAAACCTCACTGATGCTTGTACACTTTACATCTTATAATGGATGTAATTTATTATATGTAAGTTATACCTAAAGATTATTTTAACTCATATTTAGAAATAATTCTTAAAACTTATCTTGGTAACTAAAGTGAATCTACTCTAGAAAAGAACTGACAATTATTAAGGGCCCGTATGCATCATGCCAGACACTGGGCTCTGCACATTTAGTTTTCACAATCATCTTTTTTTTTTAAGTCTATTTACTTATTTTGAGAGAAAGTGTGTGTGTGCGCCCATGAAAATGAGAGAGGGGCAGAAAGAGGGAGAGAGAGAATCCCAAGCAGGCACTGGGCTGTCAGCTCAGAGCAAAACACAGGGCTCAATCTCACAAACCTGATTCGAAATCAAGAGTCTGAGGCTTGGGGCACCTGAGTGGCTCAGTTGGTTAAGTGTCCAACTACAGCTCAGGACATGATCTCACGGTTCGGTTCGTGGGTTCAAGCGCCGCATCAGGTTCTGTGCTAACGGCTAGCTCAGAGCCTGGAGCCTGTCTTCAGATTCTATATCCCTCTCTCTCTCTGACCTTCCCCTGCTCATGCTGTCTCTCTCTCTCTCAAAAATAAATAAAACATTAAAAATTAAAAAAAAAAAAAAAAAGTCTGAGCCTCAGCAGATCTGAGCCACCCAGATGCCCCTTCACAGTCACCTTTTAAAGTACAAATTACTCATCAAATTTTTACATTTGAAGAAACATTAGCATTTGCAAATTAACCTGCCTGGTAAGGGAGGGAGGTCAAGAGTCAAGCCTAAGTACACCTCTAATGCCCATGTTGCCACCACCACCACCCTCTGACGTCTCTGCTACAGAAACTTTTTCACCGAAGCTACTACTATCCACCAAAACCATTTTTAAGCCTACCTGGTCTTTAACCTTCTAAGACAAATCAATTGAAAATAGAGGACAACAAAGATCATGAACCTAAACAACCCGTTAATTGGATGGCCAGCTCCTAACCAAGGACTGGCTCACCTCTATGCATGAAATACCTTAAGCTGCAGTATAAAAAATACATAAGAGACTCATAGAAGTACAAGCAAATCTCAATATATTAAAATCACAATCACACAGCCAGTTAAGTGTAATACTCTTCAGTGGTAGCATTCTCCCACTGGGATTTTTAAACTTTGAACATATTTTTTTTTTTAATATTTTTATTTATTTCTATGAGAGAGAGAGACAGCGTGAGCAGGGGAGGGTCAGAGAGAGAGGGAGTCACAGACTGAAACAGGCTCCCGGCTCTGAGCTGGCAGTCAGCACAGAGCCCGACGCGGGGCCCGAACCCACGAACTGCGAGATCATGACCTAAGCGAAAGTCGGACGCTTAACCGACTAAGCCACCCAGGCGCCCCAAAACTTTGAACATATTTTTAAACTTTGAATTATATATGCATGCCAAGGACTACATGATTGAACTATCCATACATTATCTTGTTACACAGCAAAAATTCTGAAATTTAACATCTAAAAGTGCTTGGCAAATAAAGAACCACATATAGTGACAAAATCTTTATTGCTGTTATGTTATAAAAGGTATAAAAATATCCAAGAGGAGATGCAAAAAAACATGGGAGAAGATGGGATTGGAGATGAACATGATAAAAGGAAGAGATTTACAGATAATCTGAGGACAGCTGATGTCAGGAATATTCCTGGTCCTATGGACTTTCCTACTTCGTCAGTCTTAACTGGAAACCACAGGAGATGATAGTTTCAGGAAAACACACTTTTGCCATCTTTGCTTGTAATTGCAAGAACTGGTACCACCAGACCTCTGTTGGCGATATTCAGGTGTTCTTCACTCCCGTCTCTGGTCCCAGGAATAACCCTTGGTGAAATGAGTACTGACGACATGTGAAACTGATGCTATTGCTTCTGCCACTATCTTCAAATCCAAAAGACAGTCTTCATAATGTGGGGATACTCCTCTTTCATGTACTGGAGTGGACGGTCCTCACAGATCAGAAAAACTGGACTGAGAGGCACCTGCGTGGCTCAGTCAGTTAAGCATCTGGCTCTTGACTGCGACTCAGGTCACGATCTCACAGTTTGGGAGATCGAGGCCCACATGGGGCTCTGCACTGACAGTGCGGAGCCAGCTTGGGATTCTCTCCCTCCCTCTTTCTGCCCCTCCCCATTCTCCCTCTCAAAATAAACAATAAATAAACGTTAAAAAAGAAAAGAAAAACTGGACCGAGAATGCTCACGTTTGAAAGCTACCCAGAGTGTCCCTGGAAAGAACTGTAATCAGACAGGCTGACTCTTCTCATTATTGATATTGGACTAAATATTGGGAGCTTGAGAGACACCTGGGCAGCTCAGTTGGTTAAGCATCTGACTTCAGCTTGGGTCATGATCTCACAGTTCGTGAGTTGGAGCGCCGTGTTGGGCTCTGTGCTGACAGCTCAGAGCCTGGAGCCTGGAGCCTGCTTTGGATTCTGTCTCCCTCTCCCTCTGCCTCTACCCCACTCACCATCTGTCTTCTTTGTCTCAAAAACAAATAAACATTAAAAAATTTTTTTTCATAAACACTGGGAGCTTGAATGATGGAGATGTTATTATACAGACAAGTTCCTGATGGTATGATTATAAGGCTTCATTTCAGTATTCCCGTAAGTATTAAGTGCACATATTTATAATTTTCACTTATCACAGGGTAAATTTAAAATTGATTCATAAAAAGTTATCTTTTTCCAGATTTTAGAGGACACAGAAATTTGTAAAGATAGTATTTTCACTTCCTAAATGTTTTTTTCCTTTCTAACTCCACTCCACAACATTATCTGTTAATGGAGTTTTGTGCCTATCCTTTTGGGGTATACTGATAAACTGATATGCAAATAGTCTTATGGGCCCCTATGTTAGCTACAGATTTTTATGCAGTGAACATGCTGATACATAAATTATTGTGAATTTCTCCAACTAATCTGTTGAAATAGTCCCAGTAGTTTCACTTTATTGGAAATAAAGATATCCAAAATTAGTATTTTGAGTCAAAAGTGCAGATTTCCCAAAACAGTTTAGATTGTCATCAATCCTGCCCTCCCCCACATGATTATGATTTCTGTTTTCTAAAACACTACAAACATTAGATGTCAGTGTTTTAATCTTTGACAATGTGATATTACAAAGTAATTGCTTCTCTTCTGTTATTGTTCACTTCAATCATCTTTATACATCCTTAAACCTTACTAGTTTTTGCTACTTCATTTTCCTCTGTGTTCTTTTTTTTTTCATATCCCTTGGAATATTAATGTCTTTGTCACTGGTTTCTAAGAGATCATTTGCGACTAAGGATGTTAACTATCCGCCAAGCATTGCAAATGAAATAATACGTTTTCTCACCAATGTTTTACAGTGATGTTTTACTTTTTGGTTGTATAGAAGTTGTGTGTTGAAATATAATAATTTTCTGCTTTAAAAAAAATCCAAGAGGAAGATGGCAGAAAATAATTTCTGAAAACTTCAAGACAGAGAAGCTAACGTAAGAAATGAATGAGTGCTTACCTTTGTGTTAACACTACCTTATATGAAAATCACACTCGTACTAACTCACAACGACAATGCATACTTACAGTTATGGGAGCACTGCGGAATCATCATTGCAATGTTGAAATATTCAAAGCAAATTCCACACCGCAGCAAATCATCTATTGTCTGAAATGCAAAAATACACATATACCTATCAGATAGACACCAAGACTGGACCGTCTGCCACAGAACTCTTTCTCCATCTTTAAAAAAAAAAAAATTTAATAATACTCTTTATGAATATACAAACCCAAAATTAACTCCACATAAACTGCAAGCGATCTTGACAAATGGAGAAAAACCTCCCCTCCCCCCCATGACTTACACATTCAAATGCCAGGTGATGGAAAACGCTTTAGACAGGTAAAGGGGCACCACAGATTCCTGCTCCTGTCGGCTCCGCAACCCTTCACAAAAGGGCCTCTCCACTCCTGTTCCATCTCCCGTGTGCTTCCGGCTCTTACTCAAAGCTTCCTCCCCTTCAAACCCCATTCCCTGGCCTACAGCCACTGTTGGGTAAAAGGTACCAACCGCCATTCACCACACAGGTTAAGAACAAAATGAGAGACTATTAAAGTCAAACATTCGAGATTATCCAGTTTAAGCTCTTCACAAATGGAGAGGCACACACATGCCGGGGATGAGTCACGCCAGCCCTAAACTCCCGGCACCCTCTGGGCAGTCGTCGGCCCGATGTCTCTGCACGACACCACATGTCAGTTACTAGCGGCGGGAGGCAACAAGGAAGCCCTGGCAGGGGCTGGCGCCAGTGGCAGCAGAGGTAAGGCAGCGGTTAGCCTGGGAAGTCGGATGGATGTGCTGCGGCCTGGGATGCAATCCAAACAGGAAAGGATCTATTCTTGCAACCCAGAATCTTCTAAATCATTTAAAATAAAATATGGGGTGCAGTCGGTTAAGCATCCGACTTCGGCTCAGGTCATGATCTCACGCTTCGTGGGTTCGAGCCCCGCGTCCAGCTCCGTGCTGACAGGTAGTTCAGAGCCTGGAGCCTGTCTTCGGATTTTGTGTCTCCCTCTCTCTCTGACCCTCCCCTGCTCACGCTGTCTCTCTCTCTCAGAAATAAATAAAAACATTAAGAATAATTAAAAATAAAATAAAGTGTTATTTTGCATTCAAAAGAATGCTGAGCAGATATTTAAGAGAGAAAAAAAAAAAGGAGCTCTCTCACGTACCGATATGGAAAGACTGCCAAGCTAAGTGCAAAGAGGAAGTAAGGTACACTACTCTTTTTGTTAAAAAGAGAGGGCAGAATAAATATGTATTCTATTTTTACCTTGTATACATATGAAGAAATTCTGAAAAGATACATATTATGTAATAAATAATGGTAACAGGGGTCAGAACACTGGACAGATAAGGAACAGGTAGGAAGGGGGACTTTTACTTTCTATTTCCTATATATATGTATTTTAATGTTTGTTTATTTTTGAGAGAGAGAGACAGAGTGTGAGCAGGGGAGGGGCAGGAGAGAGGGAGACCCTCCCCTTTCATGCTCTCTCTCTCAGAAATACATAAAACAAAAACAAAAAAAATTAAGAAAACACATACACACACACTTTCAAAGAATAATTAATGCCATGGGAAAATGTTCATGTTTTAATAAAAACTTTAAAAAAAAATCAGAGAACAAATCTATAATACATTACAGTAGAACTATACAGTTTAATCTCCCTAATAATCTTATGAAGTCTATAGTATCTATATCCCAGTTTTAAAGACGAAGCCTACTGTGCTTATAGTGACTGAATCAAACCCAAGAAGTTGACTCCAAAGTGTTCCCAAAATTTAAATGCATATATGCATCATACACACACAAGAAAAACTGAAGGAAAACAGGAGAAAACATTAAACAGTGGTTATCTCTGGATGGCAGGTTGATGCGTAACTTTCATTTTCTCTTTTATCTTAATCTGAATTTTAATTTTTTCTACTGTATACACATACTCCATTTATAAACCATCAAAACCAGAAATTCCTATTGCTATAAATCCAAGGAAATAGACATTAAAATACCAAAATCTTCTATCACTTTTGATGGTAAGCTACCACGGACACCAACCACTAGAAGACTGTGTTGAAAACCAGTTAAGAACAGAGACAGGGCTGGAAGTCAGAGTCCGGGCATCCACTCTATTGTGCTTTCTTCTAAGAACCATACACTCTCTTATGGAGGAGTGGTTCTGACAAGTGCTGAGCGAAGTTTGTGGAAGGTGATACTGTATCAGATGAGCTGTAACATTCTTGCAAAAACTTCTATTCCTGCCACTTCAAGATGGTAACTAACATGCAGTGCACTAGACAGAGTGGTCAGGTGGAAGCTCCAGGACTTCTTTAACTTAGAAGAGGGGGAAGTGGACGGGGGAAGTAGGGAGTGCGTGAAAAGACTTAATAACTATAGGAAAGGTTCTTAAGTTTTTTTGGTCACAGGTCCCCTTAAAAATATGGATAAAAGTGGGGCACCTGGGTAGCTCATCGGTTGAGCAGCCGACTTCAGCTCAGGTCATGATCTCACAGTTTGTGAGTTCGAGCCCCGCGGTAGTTCTGTGCTGACAGCTCAGAGCCTGGAGCCTGCTTCCGATTCTGTGTCTCCCTCTCTCTGCCCCTTCCCCACTTGTGCTTGCTCTTGCTCTCTCTCCCTCTCGAAATAACATAAAAAAATTTTTTTAATATGGATAAAAGTTATGAACTCTCTTCCCAGAAAAACATACAAACAAAAATTGTATCAATAATTCCAGATACAAAAGTCTGTCCATGGCTCCTAGGTTATTGGAATTTAAACACAGATCTCTACACAAAGTAAGAAAGAACTTCAAACACAGCTTCTGGGAGCAGCTAATTCTTTGTCCCTGGAACAGTTCAAGCAAAGACTAAATGACAAATTGGCAAATATACTATAAAGGGATTAAAACACATAGATCAATGGAACAAGAGAGAGAGGCCACAAATAAACTCACACGGTTTATATGGTCAATTAATCTACAACAAAGGACGCAAGTCTTTTCAATAAATGGTACTGGGAAAACTGAACAGCTACATGCAAAAGAACAAAACTAGAGAACTTTCTTTCTTTTTTTTTTTTTTAAAGTTTTATTTATTTCTAGGAGAGAGAGAGAGACAGCGTGAGCAGGGGAGGGTCAGAGAGAGAGGGAGTCACAGACTGAAACAGGCTCCAGGCTCTGAGCTGGCAGTCAGCACAGAGCCCGACGTGGGGCCCGAACCCACGAACCGCGAGAGATCATGACCTAAGCGAAAGTCGGACGCTTAACCGACTAAGCCACCCAGGCGCCCCTAGAGAACTTCCTTATACCATACATAAAATAAACTCAAAATGGATTAAAGACTAAAATGTGAGTCCTGAAACCATAAAACTCCTAAAAGAAAACCTAGGCAGCAATTTCTCGGACATCACCTTAGCAACAAATTTATATAGATCTGTCTCTTCAGGCAAGGGAAACAAAAGCAAACATCAAGTGCTGGGAATGCACCAAAATAAAAGGCTTTCACACGGTAAAAGAAACCATCAACAACACAAAAAGGCAACTCAGTGAAGGGGAGATATCTGCAAATGATCTATCCAATGAGGAGTTAAGATCTAAAATATATAAAGAACTTAGACAAATAAACACCAACCCCCCCCCCCAAATAATCCAGTTATAAAATGGTCAGAGAGCTTGAATAGACATTTTTCCAAAGACATACAGGTGGCCAACAGACACATGAAAAGATGCCCAACATCACTCATCATCAAGGAAATACAAATCAAAACCACCATATCGCCTCACACCTGTCAGAATGGCTAGTACCGAAAAGACAAGAAATAACAAGTGTTAGTGAGGTCGTGGAGAAAAGGGAACCCTCCTGCACAGTTGGTAGAAATGTAAATTGGTGCAACCAATGTGGAAAACACTATGGAGCTTCCTCACAAAATTAAAAACAAAAATACTGTATATTCAGTAATTCCACTACTAGACATACGCATCCCTACATTTATTGCAGCATTTTTTACAAAAGCCAAGGTATGGAAGCAGCACAAGCATCCATGGATAGATGAATGCATAGAAAAGGTATGGTACATGGATACAATGTAATATTAGTAAGCATAAAAAAATGAGTTCTTGCCATTTGTGACAACATGGATGGACTGAGAGGGTAACATGCTAAGTGAAATATGTCAGACAGAGGAAAACAAATACCCATATGATTTCACTTATATGTAGCATCTAAAAAACAAATGAACAAACAAAAAACAGACTCTTAAATATACAGAACTGGTAGTTGCCAGTGGGGAGGTGGATGGGGGAAGAGCAAAATGAAGAGTATTAAGAGGTACAAACAATAAAAATAAAATAAAATAAAGATCTATTAGAAAAATAGAAAAGAAAATGCTGGAGGGGGCTGGCTTTCCACCACGATTCTAATATGGGCTCAGTAAACCCCATCGTTGAACACTCTCGGGTGCTGAACCCTATATTCAGTGCCAGGGTGAAACATCAAATCTGGAGAAGACAAGGAACCTGCCTCTAAAGAACACTGTGGAAGTCGTAGTAATAGGTAAAATATGCTTAAATCTACAAAGCAAAAAGCTTTACAAGCTACAAAGCTTTTAATCCTTTATCCAAATCAACCTTCCCAACAACAAATAAAAAGGGGTGGAAGGAACACTTTACATACGTTAAGTGCTAATGATAATAATAAAGACACATGAATTGAATGCTTAGTACCTTCCAGATACTGCCTTCAATCAATCAGCAAATAATCTTTGAGCAAGCACAGTAAATAAGGCAGACAGGATCCCTACCCACACACATCAACTCATTGTCTTCACTTTATAGTTGAAGAAAGTCAGGCTCATGTAGGTTAAGTAGCTGACTCAAGATCACACAGTTAAATAAAAGCCAGAGACCAGATTTAACCCAGGACCACTGAACCCAAATCTATGTTCTCCACTGTACCTTTGTGCCAAGGCCACCACAACTCCAAAACCACATCTTTCCTAGATCCTTTCACAATGTCAGCTTTTCACCCCGGGGCTATCTCAAGTCCCCAAGCTCTGTAGATGATGCCGATGACAGCAAGAAGAACAAGGCATTATCCCCCAAGTCCCCTCACTTAATCCTCAAAGTCATTCTTATCAGTCAGTGGGGCAGATCCCATAATCCCCATATTTACAGAACTGAGGGATATCAACTAGAACGTGATCTTGCACACAAAAAGAAATACATAATTGCAGAGCAAGAAGAAAAACCAAGCAACTGATTCTTAGCTAGCACAGCAAAGTGTATTTGCTCTTGATCAAGCACAGAAGGAATCCAGGGCTCCCGCTATAGTAAATGGAACTAGAATGACTTGGGGAAAAAAAAAAAAGTTACTTAAGTGAAACAATACAATGAAACAAAAGGCGAATGCCGAGCCTGAACTCTGATTTTGTTTAAAAGGGACGCACAAGGGCGCCTGAGTGGCTCAGTCGGTTAAGCCTCCGACTTCGGTTCAGGTCATGATCTCACGGTTCCTGGGTTCGAGCCCCGCGTCAGGCTCTGTGCTGACAGCTCAGAGCCTGGAACACGTTTCGGATTCTGTGCCTCCCTCTCTCTCTGACCCTCCCTTGCTCACGCTGTCTCTTTCTCTCTCAGAAATAAATTAAAAAAAAACACTTAAAATTTAAAAAAATAAATAAATAAAAGGGACGCACAACTGTTAGGAGTTTGGGCAAGTCAGGGAGGAGTTAGGGCAAACCAGCGCCAGGTAAGTTAGAAGAAACGAAAGAACGTAAAGGAGAAGACCTGTTTTGCTAGATGATTAAATAAGTGTGTTTTGATGCAGGGTCCAAACCCAATCTTGCCCGTGTCACTAATGTACTACGAGAGTTTACACAACGCTTGACAAGTAGTAGGCCCTCGGAAAGGATTAGTTGTCACTGTCGTTTTCACTGTTTGGACTATTTTCCCCGAGGCCATTGTTCTTGCTGTGACTGAGCCGCTTAATACCCGGTTCCATAGACGACCAACCTAAGCTGCCCACACGGGACCGAGGCCTGACCCCGTCACTTCTCGGCAGGAGGCCCAAATCTACCAGGTCGCTCGGCGGCAGAGCCGAAGCGGGTTCCCTGGCCCAGCTGGAGGCTCACACCACATCCCTTCTTGTTCTCAAGGCGGGACTGGCCTCCTGGACGCCCGGGTGCCCCCAACCTCCCCCGAGCACTCACCTTCATGACTGCCAGGCCTGGCGGCCACCGAGACTCCACTTGGGAGTCCATGGTTTCTCCTAAGTAGGCTGGGGGGTCCGTCACCCACTGGCCTCCCCGCGCTCCACCGATACTCGAAATTCCCCGCGCTACGGTGACACGTCAGCAGTGTGCGCCGCGCCTGAGGCGTGCGCGAAGCCTGCTGGGAGTTGTAGTACATGGGCGGGGCGCCGCCAAGACGCCCTCACTGCGCACGCTCCAAGCCTCCCCTTTGCCTCTCAGGGCAGGTCAATGGTTAAAAAGCCCACATTAGGTTTTGCAGAAGACCCTTGATAAGTAAATGCCCGTTGAATGTTAGGAAAAAACAGTCAGGAATCAAGCCAAATCCGGACCTTGCCAAACCTCTCAAGGTCCAGGCTTCTGCCTCCTCCTCACGTCGCCCTCCATGATTGCTATAGTGACCCGTCCCTTCTCTGAGCAGGTGTTTTCATATCTATTATCTCATGTCACCCCATCACAAGACTGAGAGGTGAATGTTACCATTGTTAGTTAACACAAGAGAGAAGTTAGACTCAAAAAAGTGAATAGAGTTTCCTTGAGTCATACAGTGTCATTGCCCAGACTACAAATAGGGCCTCTGGACTTTAAACAGGAGTGCTTACTTTTCTCAAATTAAAAAAAAACAACAAAAAAAAACAAAACAGTTTTCCTGTAGGGACAACCACCCTAACTCTTTCAGATATTTACTTTCTGATATTTCCTATGCAGGTATATAGATACGGGTGTTCCCCCCACCAATGTTATTAAATTAAATGCATAGCTTTGTCAACTTGAGTTTTTCGAAAGTTTCTTTATTTAACCACACATCTTAAGATCTCTCCATATTAATATGTGTATATTTATCTCATTCTTAGCTACAAAGTCAATAACAGATGTACCACAATTTATTACTCCCTTTCTGTGGAGCATTTAGGTTATTTCCAGTTTTTCACTATTGCAAAGAGTTGCAGTGAACACACCATCTATATACATCTTGGCACACTTGGGCTAAGATATCTGGGGATGCTTCCCTATCAATGGAACTACTAGGCCAATATGTGTGCCCTTGTAAAACTGTGACAGCTCGTAATAAATCATTTGCCAAAAAGGCTGATTTATACTAATGCATTTCTACGTTTATATTCTCACCAACCAAGCAAGAATAAGAATGCCCACTATCCAAATGGGAAGCTGACCATCATACCACCCAGTCTGTCAGTTTAACTCAGCACTCGCCCACTGCTTTATGTGGGCCTTCACTGCATTAGGCCTCATGGCCCCAAGTCACCAGTTGTGTTACTCGGGGCAGACTCTTGCCACTTGTCACTGCTACCCAACATGCATGCATGCTTTCATTCACTCATTCAACAAATACTTTTTTTAAAGCTTATTCATTTTATAAAAACTGTTTAATGTTTTATTTATTTCAGAGAGAGAGAGACAGAGTGAGCGGAGGAGGGTCAGAGAGAGAGGAAGACACAGAATCCAAAGCAGGCTCCAGGCTCTGAGCTATCAGCACAGAGCCCGAAGCAGGGCTCAAACTCAAGAATCACAAGATCATGTCCTGAGCGGGACGCTTAACCGAGTGAGCCATCCAGGCGCCCCTTAAGTTTATTCATTTTTGACAAATTGGCTCAGGCTAGTTATTGAACCTCTCCACACCTCAGTTTTCTCATCTGTAAAACGGGGATGTTAATAATAGCGTTTGCCTTACAGTGATGTTATGAGAATTACAAGAACTATTGTAAGTAAGGTGCCTAGAACAGTGCCTGGCAACTAATCAGCCCTGTGTGAATATCAGCTGACATTGTTACTATGCTGTTGTCAGCACAGAGGGAAGCCCTTGGATGGCTTTAGGCAGGGAGGTAACATGATTTGACTTACGCTTTCAAAAGGTCACTCTAGTTGCTGGGTAATAAAGGATTTTAGTGGTGAAATGTTGTGCCCGAATCTCGAGTCCCCAGAGACCTCCAAGGAGCCGACACCGATACAAGTACATAAGGGTCTTTATTACAAGCTCGAGCAGGGGCTCATCCGTCAACCGGCGCAGTGGCAGCAAGGTGAAGCCCCGAACAATAGTGAGCAGGGTTTTTATGGGGTTAAGGGACGGGGGTGTTACAGTGCACACATTGTACGTATTGCATCATCACATAATTGTGCAGCACCCATGGTTACAGTTTTAACCATTCAGTATCTGTGAGGTGTTCATTACTTTTGGTGGGACCCAATCATGACCTTTGGGAATCCTTTGAAAATGACCAATTATGAGGTGAGTTCAAAGGGCCCACGTGGCGTTTAGGCGGGCGGTGAGTGATTGGCTAGTTTGTACAAAGTAACTATCAGCAGTTCCCAGCCCTGACTCAGACCACAGGAATGTTACAGTTCCCAGCCCTGACTCAGACCACAGGAATGTTACACATTTCTTTTGATTGGCTGATCCGACGGTGGTCCCAGGGTGGCTTCAGCTGAAGCTTTTCCTGGAACCGGGGCTACGTGCAGCCCGAGGTTGCTCTTAATGGAGGACTTAATTTCAGGCTCCTCAGAAAGAATAAAAGTACCGATCAGCGGGAACTGACCAGTTTGGCAGTGGTCAGGAGGAGGTGAAAGTGCTGTGGGCCCCATGATTACTGCTGCAGACTCCACCCTAGCTTGTTCTCACCAGTTTCCAGCTCCCCCCACCTTGGGCCCCCAGCCCCAGGGCCAGCAGGGCCTAGTTTACATTGACAGACTGTGTCTATCATCTGCTCCACTTGCCTGTTAGACCACAACCTCTGGAACCTTCTCCCTAAGACTGATTACCTGCCTGTCATGATAGCCTCTTCTTAGGAGGGGTCTCAGCCCTTCCAATGGATGCTTTCAATGAATGTTTACTGAGAGCTTCCTGCAGGCCCTATGGTCCAGGCAGAGCTCACGAGCAATAAACTAGACAAAGAATATCTGCCCAAGTGAAGGTCTAAAGATGGGAAGAGCTTTGAGATCAGAGAGGAGGAACTTTAAGAGAGGAAGCTGTATTACTTGGTATTCTTTTTGTTACAAATGTTGAGTTAGAAAGGCAACGCAAAATGTCTTAATCAAAAAAAGGCATGTATTAGTTTATGTAAACAGGAAGTCCAGCAGTAGGTATTCAGGTGTGGCCTGATCCAAGTGTTAGCAGATTGGTCTCTTTTCTTTCTTCCCAGTCTCTCTTAAGGCTTCATATCTGCTTTCGTCAGTGTTGTCTGAATGCCCAGGCAGCCTTCCCCGATGCGGCAGCAAACTCAGCCTCCGGAAGCTCGGAGACTATGTTCCGCCAGCAAAGCTGTCTGAGCAGAAAGAAACACCTCATTCCCAGTAGTCTCCCACCAAAGCACCAGGTTGAATCTCATTGGCCAGAATTGGATCACATGCTCATCTTTAGATCAATCACTGTGCCTCAGATTGTCTAGGTCTGAGTTGGGGGGGGGGGGTGGTGGTAGATGCTCCAAATGAACATTGGGGTAACATTGGCAGTGGAAGAGGGAATGGCTCTCTGTAAACATGCAGATTGCAAAAATGGCTGTAAATTCTTCCTCTTCCTATATCCACACCTCTTTATGATATGACTCCTTCCACCAAGACGTGAATCTGTTTTTCCGCTCCTTGAATCTGGGCTTGGTCATGGGGCTTGCTTTGGCCACTACAACATTGACAAAGGTGATGTAAGCAGAGGCTTGAAAAGCGCCTGCGCAGTGGAGCTTCCCCTCTGTCTTACTGCTCTTGGAAAAACCGCCACGTGAACGAGCCCTAACAACTCCGTGGATGATGAGACAGGTGGCCAAGTTATGTTCGTCACCCCGGCTGACACAGAGCCACTTACAAGAGATGGGAGTGAGGCCATCCTAGACTATCCAGCCCCAGCCAAGTCACCTGCCTTCCTACAGATCAGCTCAGCCAGCTCTGACCAGAAAACTGCTCAACATACCCACCCACAGGCTCATGGTAAATAATAAATGTTGATTATCTTAAACCACTAAGTTCAGGAGTGGTTTGTCACATAGTAACAATGGCTAACCTCCTCAGTGAGCAAAAACCATGGTGGCTCTCCCCAGGAATCTTTTGCATGCCTAGAGCTTGGCTTCAGAGCCCCCTGCCAGGGGGGCGCCCTAGGCTTATGGGCCCCTCCTCTTCCCCATAGTAGTCTTCTGCTGCTCTCTGATCCAAAAACTTATCTCCACTCTGCTTCTGATCTGGTGCCAGACTTTATGGGTCCCAGGGGCATGACAGTCCTTGTGAAGAGCGACTCATATGCAATTCTTTCTGTAGGCTTCCAGCCGTTCCCCCTTACACGGATGTAGCCGTCCACCGGAAGAAATTGAAGGATGTGTAGCTGAGTCTTGTGCCTCCACCATCCATCATGATATCTGGACACACATTCCCCACTCAAGCTCCAATTCTTTGGTTCTCAAAGGCTATTTGGATTCTCAGAGCCTCCTGGGAAAGTTGAATGTTCCTCTGGGGGTGCTAAAGCAGGTTGTACCTCAAAGACACTCCATGGAAATTACTTTCTCCCAACAAGACCATCCATGCCCTAGCACAGCTAATAGAATGGTCCCCACAAGTGTTCACGGGGTGTATCGGCTGGGAAGATAACAAACTAGCCCCAAGGGCTCTGGGGCCCTTGGATACAGGGAGTACTTGGGCAAAGGGAGCAAAACTAGGAAAGAATGGAAGGGGAAAGGGTAGGAATCACCAAAGACAGAATTCTCACCGACGAATTTGGTCTTTAGCATCTCAGGGGCAGGGCTGAGAGTTATACAGACCCCAATTTGCACCCATGCTCTTCCATTTACCATGTGATCTTACCTAAGCCACTTTTTTTTCTTTTTCTTTTTTTAATTTTAATGTTTTATTTATTTTTGAGAGAGAGAGATAGAGATAGTGTGAGCAGGGGAGGGTCAGAGAGAGAGGGAGACACAGAATCCAAAGCAGGCTCCAGGCTCTGAGCTGTCAGCACAGAGCCTGACGTGGGGCCCGAACCCACGAACCGTGAGATCATGACCTGAGCTGAAGTTGGACACTTAGCCGACTGAGCCACCCGGGCGCCCCGTAAGCCACTTTTCTTTCAGAGCCTCAGTTTCCT